GTGGCTAAAGCTGGCCATAGGCCCTAACCCGACCTGAGGTATGACGATACAACTCTTTGAGGATCGACACATACTTCTCAGGTACTCCATTCCTCAGCAAACAGTTCCATAGTGCGGTCCTAGTAGAAAGATCCAAATGTACCATTGTTTATAGCACTAACAACGGAAAATAGAGTCCCCGCCCCCATAGTCGTCGGATCTCGAGCACTATTGGTGAACTATTTAACCCTCACTACAACGCCCATAGCTCGAAATCAAACGCCATGTGTATCAGTTGTTTCCGTTTTGGAAGGAAAGTCAAAAATCCCAGACATCAATTTAAGATGAACCCAGAAAGCATCGATCGACATGATGTGCTAGACGAATGGATCGCTTCTTTCTGAGCTGTTCACGGCACGGAAACAACAATAACAGTGGTGAATGGTGCGTTACCAATGAAGTTCAGTCGTGCTCTTCATTTCCAATAATGATGGTCATTACACCTGATTTGCCACAAACCACGGGGCAAAATGAGACTCGTGATTGAATGCGTCAAACAGGAACAGGGCAAGACGAAATGTGAGCGCATGGGCTTAAAACGTCCGAACGATACAAAGGGTTGGAGGAGCGATTTTGGTAGCAAGAAAACTAACTTCAAAAAATACATTAATCTAGTAAAGAGCTCCATAGAGACGGCTGCACACATTTGTAATCTGAGGTACAAACACCGTGTGCGGAAAATAAACCGATTTTATGAAGCCGTGAAAGATCTAAGTAGCGATCAGTTTGAAAGAACACGGTGACAAAAAGTGGTCTTGATTATAAGGAGTGAAAGCCAAATGCCTTATTTATTCCGGTGGACACCAATATTGGTGATTAGAAGATTATTATTATTATTTACACCAAATCTTTACAGATACGGCGCCAAAAATAACCATGGGTGAACGAAAAAATATAGGTACAAAAATGGGGAAAATAAAACAGTCGACTTTGAGGAGTAACAATATTCTTTTTGTTTGTTCACTGCACGTTTGAGTTCTTTTGTTTATGTTTATTTTTGGGATTGTAGACAAGAGGTGATGCATTCACGCCACTGACTTCGGTTCGATGCCGCAGTGTCTCCAGCCAAAGACGATCTGAATCTTTGGGGCCCCAGCCGGGGAGCCGAGAAACCCTCAACGGAAGCCAGATCCGAGCACAATCTCTTCAACCCTCTGCGCCACGTCATGGTCTGCCCACCTCGTTGTTTCTTCCAGCCTGGACCGATGTCTGTGAGTAGTCCACGGTGTGGCAGACGGTGCTCAGGCATTCGTAGGACGTGCCCCAGCCACCTAAGACGTGAATGTTTTAATGTTAAAAGTACGAAAAAATCAATCATCTTCGATTCTATACTGTCGGTAGATATGGTGCGTGAAGAACATCGGATGTTTTCTTTTAAGTTCTTATTTCCTAGTCGGCTTATTTCAGTATAGTTATGCGTTGCCGATTACATGAAAATCCGCAGAAGGTCCACAGCATATAGGATATCTGTAGGTTGTGAGGCCATGTTATTTGCAGTTTACCTAGACTGAAGAAGGGAGCGGACCTTGGGGTCTCTTTATATGAGCCTTTGACTGGGAATTCAAAGATGAAAGGTAGCGGGACGGAGCTCAGAGTCCGTAATCTATCGGGGTATAGCGTTAGCTTCATCTGATCCGGGCCCCCATTAGATCAAATCCAAGCCGAATTTTATATTATCGGAATTACTTACAGAGTCATGCTTCTCTGCTCTCCGTAGTATATTTGCATACATTTGAACCGTTTCGTGATAGCAGTGATAATTATCGCGTATAGATTCGGGTAGGAAATAATAAATAATGTAGTCTTCAACTAATTTGAGTTTTTAGTTATTTAGGAATGTATGGTGTGTCAGGGTTTCATCAAGTCTCCGTTTGAAGGATCCATCAGTTAGCGCAAAAACGCCATGAAATGAGAGTGTTCCAATTGGTGCACATTCTGACGGCAAAATATTGATGCCGGGATTCCAGTCGACACTTTCGAAGCAATGACATGTTGGTTTCTTACGGTGGATGTTGGGCGATAACGTTAGCCGCGAACAACACGTATGGTTTGGATTCTCCGATGTTTGCTGCACCAAAATCAAGTGATCAAAGTCAAAGTTTTATTATGGGAATAACTTCTCTTGTCCCCATAGGCTATTTCCTCAGATGAATCGTTACACGCCGAAAAAGAAATCACATAGAGTTCCGGGTAGGAGATAATAGAGAATGTAAGCTAGAGTGAATCTGCGTTTACTTTTAGTGGTGTACGAATGTGAGGTGTGCCAAGGTTTCATCGAGTCGCTGCTTGAAAGATTCAATAGTGGGTGCACAAACAACATGAGATGGAAGGGCGTTCCAAGAACTGTATACTCTGACTGCAAAAGACTGGCGCCGGCAATCCAGTCGACACTTTGAAACCTAGTGCGGCTTTATGTGGTTCGTCACTTCATGTCCCCGTTTCCACCACCTAATATAAGGTTTATGCGAATATGGGATTCACCTCGTCTTTTGTTCATCACACGAAACTGGGTTTAATAAGAAAGTCTCCTCGATTTCGGCGGTACTGAGTAGAGCATAATCCCAATTTCTGAAATCTCTCCTGAGGGTGAGGCAATGCAATTTCCTGACTACTTTGGTGACAATCCTTCTAATATGTTACGATCACGTATTCAGAGCCAGATAAGATCTATATACACTGTTCCATTGTTTTCATTCCCTTTTCTGTATCCGTACTTTTTGCAATTGATTTTCCACCATCGCCTTATTTTTCTGGTATCAGTACAGCACTACACCGAGAGTTTTACCACAAGCATTATCAACTTTCGTATGGGTGGGCACCATTACCCTCTTTGGGACACAAGAATTTTGCTGTTCTTGGCCCCACCTCACCTTTTTTGCCCATGCCTCGGCAACCGATACTGACTGAATGTTCATACCAATCCGTGTGGTTATTGGAATGAAAAATCGGTGGTCATAATTGGTCGGGAAATCATGTTGTTTGGGTTAGTAGATGGAGGGTAAATTTTGGGGCTATGATGCTTCGCAGTGTTGTTTTTGATTTCTAG